AAAGCGTTGATTAATAGCCAAGACGAAGGATTGCCAATCAGGTAGCTGGCCGTTAGCAAACTGTGCTTCAAACCAACAAGCAGCTGGCATATCCAAATTAAAGCAAACTAGATCGAGTCGGTCCAGTTCAGGAATCTGATGGTAAAGAGAATACCTGTCTACGACGAAAAGCCAGGGGCCTGGATCTCCAGATCCAAAGCGGGGAAAATCTATTTTCATGGATCGAGCTGGTGGTTGTGGTCGTGAGGGTGAAACACCCAGAATGCCAGGTTGTGGGTTTGCGGTCAGCGTAGTCATTTGGAGCTGCATATTTTGGAGTAACCCAAACACCTCTTGAAGTTGTCGGTTGAATTCATCTAACTGGTGCGCGTGTAACCGCTCAGACGTTTCTAGACGGTGGTCAATGGATCTTTCCAGAGTGGATAATTGTTGTTCATGAGCAGTGACTTGATTTGTGAGGTCCCTGAGTCTGGTATTTTCAGCCATTAAGGCAATGAAAGCACCAAATGTAACAGGGTTCGTTGTATCAGTGTAAAAGCAAGGAGAAGATAGGGTTGAGAGAGAGACAAGAGAGAGAGATTGCTGAATTTTCTGTTATCCTTTTCTTGGCCTCATAGGCTATTTGTAATACAACTAATGGATACGTGGACTGAAATTCTAAACATATCTGGCATTCTCAGCCCAAAATAAAATCATTCAAGTGGGATGGTTTGTTAGTCACTCTTCCGCTTCTGGTTGACATGGGTTGTGGGTCTTCTTTCTTCATTAAATCCGTTACAGATACATTTCTCGGAGGGCAGCAAAGATTGGACGAATGGTGAGTTTATGACATATTTTAGCAAACATAATTATTTTACATTTGTTTGACATTGCTTACACTTTTTTATATACAGATTGACAGACTAGAGATGTTGTATCATGCAACAACTACGAAGGAGTTTCCTCGCTTCGGGTTAGAGTACATCCATGAGGAGATTGGCAGGATTATTGGCATGTTTCAGGAGAATTCACGGGTAGATGAGCCTTGACCTGAGGAACCCCCAGTACAGACACAGCCTGATTCGCAGTTGTCCCTGGATGTTCCCCGTAATAGACAGGAGGGACGCATATTAGGACGTACCCGTGAACGAGTTGCAGCTGTCCCTGTTCCGATAATGGCACCGAGACCAGTGGTCGAGACTCAGGGATGGTTCAGACCTCTAGTCATTGGGACTACTTACAGGTTACAACCAATGTATCATCACGGATCCGAGGATGCGGGTGGACCTAGCCAGCCGGAGTCTCAGCACCCATACATGGATTCACAGGATCCAGTTTTCCAGGACAGTCACATGGTTATGGCTGGCGCCGATCAGGCATACTCACAGCCTTCCTCACAGCCATTTTTACAAGGACTTGATGCTGACGAATCGGGTTGGTCTGTAGAGGATACCGTGGACATGTGGTCAGCATTAGGCCTTATCCCACCTAGCTATGACAGTGAGGAGACTCTAGCCACGGACACCCACAGTCAGGGATTCACGCCATCCCATATGCAGGGCAGTACTTCAGGTCGTGTTTATGCACATTATCCAGGGCAGTCTTCGAATATTGGAGGGACCGCACCGGCAGATGATTTCATGCGAGCAGCAATGGATGATTTCCAGACTCCACCACCACCGACACATCAGGGCGACCCAGCATGGGACAGACGTATCCAACCAGATAAGGATGCACGTCATAGGCCATGGCCACCGTGGTCGTAGTTTCATTTCCATATAGGGATTTTTTGTATTAGTTATGACGTTATGAGTTTATTATATTGTGGACTGTACTTTATTATTTCATTTGGATTAATTGTCTTTAGTATTTATGTTTTGAACGTCAACATATGTTTGACATGTCAGTAACATGAGCACGAATATTAACAAGGAAATAGTCTCAGGCTTCCAATGTTTCACCTTCAATGATGGCAAAAGCGATCGGTAAACATTCATCATTTCCATCTTGGGCTGTGGCCACCAACAATTTGTCTTTGTACTTCCCATATAAATGCGTTCCATCAATCTGTATGACTGGTTTGGCAAATTTGAACGCCTTAACCACACTGTCTAAACGTCCAAAAAATGCGATGAAAAACCTTTTTTCTAGGAACTTACCCATGCTCCGCATAAAAATCATTTGTTTGGATATGATAAAATAAACCTGGAGAAAAGCGAAGCATGTATTCGCACCAGCTTGGCAAAAAAACATATGATTCCTCCCAATCACCGTACATAATTGTCATCGTTTTCTGCTTCGCATACCATGCCTTTCTGTAGGAAACTTTAAAGCCATATTTAGAGGTTATCTTTTCTTGAACCAAAGAAATTGAGACAGATGGTTCTTCCCTTATCATCTGCTGCGGCGATGTCGACATACAACTCTAGAAAATCTGTCCTTGGTTGGTTGAAAAATTCTTCCATTGTCATCTCCGTGTCTTCATCGTCTACCACTTGCAAACTAATGTATTTATCACATTGCCATAACCTTGTCGTAATCTGAGTGATACATTGGTTGCCTTGAAGACTTAACTTCTGCCGAATTCTTTGATGCAGTTCGCCAATGGTTGCATTGTGTTGGATAGGTGTCGACCTTTTTTCACCTTCAAACATGACACCCCGTCGACCTTCTACCTTCCTACCATTGTAATATAACACAACACGAACATAATTAGGATGTGAACTCATTCTTAAATAGAATAAGAAATAAAATTAAAATACTAAATTAAAGATAAGGGATTATGTATGTATGATGTCAGAAATTTTGGTAGAGAAGAGATATGAAGAGTGAGAGAAGAGGTGTGAAGAGTGAAGAAGTGGTAGGGAGATTTATAGGGCTGCACATGTGACGCCCCATTTTTGGCGCCACATGTGACGCCCAAAAGGGGCGTCACATTGTGCAGTAGATCCGTAATTATTCTCAAAATTATAATAAATGCACAATTATTTTATTAAAAAGCATTAAATTAATTTTTTTGCACAAAAACATCTTCAATACTACCATAGTACTGAGCATTGGTTAGTTCAAAATAAAATTATAAACTATATATTTTAAGAGAGAGTTACAAATTTTTTGTTTACAAACTTTTAGAAACTGCACTATGTATTTCTGGATACTACATATTTCCTGAAATACATAGAATAATTAACAAAAGTTTGTAAACTGATCATTTCCTATGTTTCAAAGAATACGTAATTATAATATTAAAATTATTATTTTTTCTCACTTTTCAGAAAACTTATAATCTGATGTGTTATGCTATTATTAATAGGTTTAAATACACGGCAGTATATTAGATTTTTTCAAACTTCACAGCAGTTCATGAATTAGGATGCATGAATTTCTGCGCCTCTGTGATTGACTGGTACGACATCAGCAACACTTCAAATTTTAACCCACATTGCTCGTTACTTCTTTTTTCCTTTAACACTCTCGCAAGTCGCAATGTTTCTTCTTTGAGACCCACACCGTCATTTTTGGAATATGGGTAACCATTTATTACCTACGTCCAAAGACACGAAGAGAGCTTTTGTCTGTGTTGCTCTCTGCTGGTCTTGTTGCTTTATTCCTTCTTGAAAGGTTGCATTGGTCCTTGCAAAAGATATCATCACCTCAATGATGCCTCTTCTTTTTTTCCTTTTTATTAGATAATTGATTAATTCCCGGTGTGATTAGAATAATCAAGTTTGTAACTATTAGAAACGATATGTTTGTTCAATCTTCGAAATGACCACAACACGTAGAAAAAGGTCACACTTATTTTGAGTTTTGACCATAGAATCTTTTTTTCTTTTCCTTTAAAATTAACATGACCGAAAAGTAATTTCATAATTTAACAATCGGTGTTGTTTGTACCTTGCATCATTCTGCTTAAGAAGTCCTAGAACAGTCACTCTCTCGAGTTTGGTCGAATATAGAATTGCATGATTTTGAGGGTGATTTTGGCGTCTTCTTTGAATGGTTACATTTGGCTTCCACTTTCAACTTCAAATCCAACAAAAACGCATGTCCCATCTTATGAATCTAATCTAATAATTACAACATCTTAAGTTTGACTCTTGACTCATGTCGAATGTATATAAAAATTCTTCACATTATATCTCTCTCTTCCCCCCTTTTCCCCTCAAGTTCACCTACTTCCTTCTTTTGTTATAGAGCTTGTATCCATGAAAACTGAATCTTAAAAACCCATAAAATAATAATAAAAAAAAACTACCCAACATGATTCTGCTAAAAGTACTATCCAAGGAGCTTCCTTGGAATCAAAATTTGCTACTATTGAGGAAAAGTAAAGAGTAGCAAGGACATTAATAAATAACTGTCGCACTCAAGTTTCCAAGAATTTGACACTCATGAAAAAGTGAGGTTGAGAAGTACACAGCTTATATGATACCAGCTTCTGGGCTCTAGCAAAGGCTGGCTAAAGTACCCACAGTGATTGAAGAGAAAGAGAAGGATCCAAAGAAAAGAAAAGAAACCTATAAGAGGAAGAAGGAAAGATCAGTTACTTACAACAACTATGGGTGTCAGACTCTTAGGTCTTTACCTTGAATTATCCTACTTGTGTGTGCTATCTTTTGCACAGATAGTTATAGCTCCAAGATGCATGATAAACATTCGTATCACAAACATCTAGCCCCATGGGATATCTCTATATATGCAATTCCTTTGCATTAAGAGTGTTTCACAAATTAAGATAATTAAATAAACTTATTATCCCGAGAAACACTACCTTGGTTAAAGACCTAAAGTTAATGTGGAGTGGCACATTCTTTAGTACTGTGTATCAACATCATTTTTCTCTTCTTTTCCTATAACTATGCTTTATCGTGTTAGCTGAATCTGATCATCTTATATGTGGGAAAAAAAAACCGGTGCAATAGTGTGAGCTAGCTAGCATGATGTAAGTAGTTGGTAATAGACGTTAAGTAAACTAAGGAGAAAGCTTTGTAATAAAATAAGATAACATTAACGTCAGATAGCAAACATACAAAACATTACATGCACACACAAGCCCTTATATAGTACACAAATTACTAGATTCGATTCAAAAGAAAAAAAAAAAAAACATAAAACATAAAACAATCAATTACCAGAAATTACAACAAGAAGAAGATCATTAACTTTACCATATTTCTGCGTTAATTTCTGTCAACTGCGTTTTCACCATCGATCTGATGGTGAAGGGTTTGAATTCAAGCAAGGAGTTGAATTCAGGTGATGGGGAGTCAAAGTTTACAAGAGATGACTAGTGGAAGAAGATGCAAGACCTGAAATATCAGTCCATGAATAGTATTGGTTATTTTCCGAGACATTCTGCAGAGTTGATCTTGATAAATTTATAGCTCCATTTTCTTCCATTTTAACTGGTGGAATCTGAGTAGTAACCCTAGAACTTGCAGCTATATCTCCAACCAAGCCTAAAGGTGCCTCAATACCTTCACTTTGAAAAGGGTATGAACCAGCTGAAGTTGAATCAAAACCATTCAAGAAAGGAAATTGCTGCAACCGCCACTGATCCACTCCTCCACCACCACCAATTTGATGAAACCCCATATGATCCGTGGTCTGTCCTTGAATCTCACGCAAACCTAAACCCATGTTTCCAACTCCATAGCGACTCAGATTCTGTAGAGAGGCCATGAAAGGTAGGTTAGGTGGTTGTGGTTGTGGCAATTGACCTATTAGCTCATGAGTGATTGTTCCTCCTGAAGTAGGTATTGCACTTGATGGACTTGAAAGTGTTTGTTTCTCACTTGCTGAAGGAGATTTGGAGCGACTCCTTTTGTTCTTCTTGTTTCTACGACAACCTCCACCCACAGGAACATTCCTAAGAGCACCCCCTCTTGTCCAATAGCGTCTACAAGTCTTGCAGAAGTGACGGGGTTGAGTGAGACTGTAATTGTTGAAGTAACAAAACTTAGTATTCGTGGAATCACAGCGAGGACACTTCAGAGCTGGCTCTGGAGGTGGTATCTTAGCTAGCCGGGCTCGATCTGCCATCGAGCCCGGTCTGATTGCTCCAATACCACCTCCAACATGATTTGCCTGTGGAGGCAAAGGTGGAAGTATGTGAGTGTTCTCACTGCCATTTGCTTGATGATGATGATGATTTTGTTGCTGAAAAAACAAATAAGAAAAAGGCACAAAAAAAAAGAAAAATTATTACGAAGGAAACAAATCTGGTATATTCAAGAAGATATTACAACGAATAGGAATAATTTATCTTTAGCAATTTTCCTTTTCTTTTTTAGGGTTCAGAAGCTGTGGCTGAAATTTGAGGGGGCAAAAAAAAAAAAAAAAACTTAATTACCTGCTGCCAGTTGGGAGGATCTACATAGACTGGAACAGAAGAGAAAACCATGGTGTTTGAATCCTTTTATGTTTTTTTCTTTTATAAAGTTTGATGGCTCTTTAGGGAGATGGTGGAGAATCACACCAAGGGAATACCAGAGCCGAGAAAGAAAGGGAAAAAGAGCATTAAAGATGAAGAGGGAAGAGGAAAGCAAGAAGAGGCTTTAATTTGTTTACTTTGCGCTTATTCCCCTCATTCGCATCTCTTTTTGTTTTATTATATTTTTAGGGTTTTGAGTGGACGAAGTTTCTTAACCTATAAGCTACTTTTTTTATGGGTTGGTCTGTAAATTTGTTCATAAAAAGGGTTAGTGGCTCCCATGCATCGAAGAGAAAAAAAATACAATAAAATAAAAGTTATGATTACACCGTATTTTTTTATGTCTGTGTAGCAACATTAATTATCACTGTCTATTCAAGGGGATGGTGGAATCAGCTTACATAATCAAAGAAAAGAATTTCAAGCTTAACCATCGAGCTGACAGATTGACATGCTCGGCAACATTATTAAATACTCAAACGTGAAAAATGAAAAATAAAATAAAATTATGGACCTCACGCGCAGCAGTATTTTTTTTCCAGATATTTATAAAGCCTAGTTAATTAATTGAAGAGCCCTAAAGTTTCTATTCATGTATATATGCAATTACCAATGACTAGGGAGTGCTAGATGAGAAGGAAAAAAGAGAGGAAAGAAGGTGAAATAATTCCTTCACTCATTTAAGAGGCAGACAGGCAAATTGGAAATACATTCAAAAGTTTCATACACATGCCACGACGTGGGGGTCTTACAATTATTGAACAATCTCGACTATGTCTTGGAAACTTTCCAGTTTAAGCTTCCCGAACATAAAATCTTCTTTTCCTTTTCTATTTTTTACTATCCAATTATTTATATGAAAAAATAAAATAAAATTTGACTCAATAAAAGTAAATCCCCCGGTTTTGATATATCATGCCATTGATAATAAAATCAAGAGAGTTTTAATAATTTTATAGTTTATTATGCATTTGCTTGTACTATCAACGATCATTTTTTTAATTAATGATTGAGATTTTTTTTCCCTCTAAAATGAGGCTTCATTTTAAATAGTCAAATCCTAAAAAAGAAAAGAAAAAGAGTTACAAATATATATATATATATTTCAATTTTCACTCCTTCATTTTACGTCTGCTAAGGAATCACATCCACACCCATTGAATCACCCAATATGTGGGGTTTTGTCAAAATACGATTTTGCTAAGTGTGCGGCAAGTGGGGTAATTAAAGAAAAAGATAAGACAAGTAATTCAGAAAGAAAACATGAAAGGGGAAAGAAAGTTTGCAAAATTGTCATATATATAATGTGTTATATATTTTAAATAATTGGCGCTAATCTTTAATTGCTTTACTTTTTTATATACCCAGCACTAGTAAATTCAATGCTTAAAGTTGTGGTCAGATCCTTTTTGGGCACAGCACCAACACTATGTGACATCAATGCATGAAATGCCATGTTTATCCAACTTTATCGTCAATATCTTTTTAAGTAGCTAGACAAAATCTTCTAGTTGCCTCTTAGCTTTAATGATTCAATAATTAATACTTCAAAATTGAGGGCGCTTGATTAATTAATGTATTTCTTTTGTCTATTTTTGCTTTGCTTTTTCTATGATGACCCTCCCTTTTTCCCGGTGCAGAGACCCCCAAATGTGGTAGAGTGAAAAACAACATATTCTTTTTGTAAGTGGGTCGGAGTCACACTCAGACTCAGATTGAGCGAGTAGGGACTCGCAAATGGGAAATGAAATGCAACCATGATGAGATCATGTCGTTTCTTCATCGATAAGAAATTTTGATCTTCTACTAAGCTTATCCTACATTCATGCCCTTTTTGGATAACTTAGCTTGCAGTGTTTGTGAATTATTATTGTATGCATGCACCTACGTTTCGAACTGACTTTAATATGTAGGTGAATTATGGTCTAGTAGAAACAGTAACTACAATACCACTAAGCATGTGGATCAATTGGTAATAAGTTGCTTTAGTTTAATTAGTAGTCTTGAGTTTGAATCTCTAGAATGCAGCTATGTTAAAACTTGGTAAAGAGAATTTTGCTACCTTTGTAATACTATCTGGCTCGAATCAGACTATTCGAGTAATCAATAAACTGATGGATTATATTAAAAAAAAAATGAATAACTACAACTAGCTACCTAGCTCAAGTGTTATGTTAGAGAAATTGGATTGAAATAGCCAACAGTTATAATAACAAAATTCTTAGCAGATGTGGGAATCTCGACAATATAAATCAAATGCGTTGACTTGTTTTTGATTGGCTTGAGTCCTTCACATCCTGTTTCCCTTTCAGACAAAAAATGGAACCTCTCTCTCTTTAAGTGCATGGCAATTTTATTCCATTGTCACATGGAGTAAAGCTTAATAAGCAGAAACTGAGAGGAGGAGAAAGAGGGAGGGATTGGGCGATTCATATTTGAGTTTATACCTCTTCGTGCATATTTCAGTCTTGGTATAACTCGTAGCCGGCGAAGCAAGTTCACGGTCCTAATAAGTTCATCAAAGTAATTATTTTGTAGTAATTATCATAGTGAACATGGTTATAAAAAATTTATTCATTATTTTTCACAAGTACTTTAGATCAAGAAATTCCAGGCATTATAATAAACCGCAAAGAATATGTGTCTGTTTGCGGATTAGAGTTTTATAATATTTTTCATGAAAAAAAAGGGTTTGAAAGATAAATCGGAGGAAGCTCTCATCAACTTTTAATGGAAACATACTGCCTTTTTTTATTCTTGAAATATGACTTTACTATATCAATTTTTTCCATTGAATTGAAAACCTCAAACAGGAATTATAGGCAATAGTGGGGATATGATTGAGTAATTATGATAAAATTGAATATTACTATTATATGGGAGTTGCTATGCCACATATAAAAGTAAGATTGGAGATAAACGGTCAAATATTTCTTCATCTTTTTGATTTTATTATATATTTCAAATTTTATTATATATATGATCGAAAATTAATAAATAATTGAAAATTCATCTTAGTATTAATACTTTAAAAAAAAATAGCTGAAAAATCCTCCAATATACTCCGCAAACTAAAATAAGTTTCAAATTAATTTTCAAAATTTTAGTATATTCATTAGCCTTAAAATTAGGTGACATGACTGCTAATTAATCTTATTGAAATTTTTAATATGCTTCATCTTTATTAGGAGAATTACATATTTTAATAATAACGCTAAATAATTATACAAAATATTTTTTAATTTATGCTCATGTGCAAATTACTAGTTTCTTAGAAGAATAAAAAAAATATGTATATGCCTCTAGCATATAATGTTTTAAAGACTAAAATAAACAAGGATTCAATCTAAATTGAATTAAAAAGGTTTATAACTGTGATAAAGATTATTAATCCACTCTCAGGTTGTTCTCACTGAAAATCTTGTGTTTTGTAGAAAAATTACATCGAAAAAAGAGCAATTCACAAGAGCAAAATAAAGAAAATTTCAGGTCAGCCGCGTTATTAGCTGGCGCTGAGAGTGCCAAAGGATCATAAACCTTCTGCTTCATAGCGCCAGTAGCGCGGGATTGGCGCTAGAAGCGCCAAAGTACAATGATGCCACTGCTTTCTCATGCTAGTAGTACTGGACTAGTGCCAGAAGCATCAATAACTCGAAAACAGCCGTACGTGCCAATAGCGCGACACACGTGCTACCATCGCCAATGCATAATGAACCCTCTGTTTAGTAGCGCTAGTAGCGCGAGAGCGGCGCTACCAGCGCCAACATCACATGTTCTGGTTAGTTGAAGATCAAATATCATATGAAAAGAGATCTTCAGTGAAGATTTGAAGACAAGATTTTGAGCCAATTATAAAAAGATACAAAAAGCCCAATATTGAGTCATTCTAGAGAACGGGAAACAAGGAGCTGGGGGAGAGAGGATTGCTAGAGATTGGAGATTTCAGAGAGAGAAGCTTGAAGAGATTGAGCAACCATTGAATTCTTTTCTTCTTCTTCATGACTTCTTCTATTTTCTTTTATTTTTTTAATTTGTTTAAGCTAACTATGTCTGGCTAAGTTTCTTTTGTAGTTAGGGCTATGTATCCGACGTGAATTCTTGTTTGGTTTAAATTTTTTCTTTAATAAATTGTCTCAGCTTATTTGTGTTTACCTTGGAATTAAATTTATGTATCCTTGTGTGACTTGATCAATCATATATGGATAACGAAGATTAGGGTTCATAATAGGCATATTGGGATATTAATATTGACAAGGGTAAACACCAGTTCTTGCATGATCTAGACATAGGCTTGTAGGAATTGCAAACTTTATAATTCATCACGCTTAATGCTTGATCCGAAAGGAATTACTAAGACATTCAGATTCTAATTGGGTTAAAGGGTTAAAGGCACTAAAAAATTAGGATTCAACCAATCAATTAGGATTTAAAAATCAATTATTTAGAAGATGAATTGTTTGAAATAATTGAGATAAAATATTATTGAAATTAATCAAGAAGGATCGAAGGTGAAATATACTCTAGCTACAGTTTTCATTATTCAATTTTTAAACTCCGTTTTAGCTCTTTGTCTGAAATTATTGCAAATCTCTTTACTTTAAAATTAGAATCAAAGATTACTCTTCCAAACCAATTTCAATTGTACAAATTAAGGGGAATGGTGAGAATAGTGAGCATTTAATCCTCGTGAGAATGATGAATCTAGTCATCTCTTTATTAATTGTATGACCGGTATACTTGTCGTGATCGCAACAATGCCTATTATCTATTATATTACAATTAAAACAAACAAATCACAAAAGCCTGTACGATTGAGTACAGTTTCATTCAAATAGTTAACGATATATGCTTACGTACTGTTTAAAATAAACTAGAAAAACTAAAAAAGAAAGAAAAATGTCTTTGTATCTCTCTTTATCTCTTACATGAAGATCTCTCAATCTTAACTTTAATTTGAGTTTCATCCTTAATTTTCTTGTTCCTTTAATTAAAGTCTACGAACACTATATGTCAGACTGTTGCAATTGGTTTAACAAGAAAATCAGTAAATCGATTCGGTTGTTGGGAAAATTCATAATACTGGACAAATAGAGAGTCAATGGAGAACTAGTCTGAAACCGGTGATG